CACGTTCTTTGTAATGTGAAGCTTACAAAGAACCAAATTTTCATAAGATGGAAGAAGACTAAAAAATACTAGTCAACTTGTATGTGTTTGACTTGTCATTTTTTGTGCATCATGAAGTTTGTCAGCTCATTTCGTTTTTCCAGCTGGTCCTAATAAATTTTATCTTATTCTCTGATATTCTTCTGCTGCCATCTGTTTATTTCAGACCTAGGAATTTTGGGTAAATGGTCCCTTCATTCCTTTTGAGTCGTCACTTCAGAAAATGTGATTTGAGAGGTTGTGAGGTACTCCTCCTTAGCTCTTCTTTTCTTTGGAAGTGATTTCTCCATCTTTTCGTAAATGAGTTTTCCACATTGATTTTGAAAACTACTTTGAAAATGAAATCTGCATGTAATTAAATCAAACACATACGCATATAGATCTAGGTCAGATTCTAGATTGATTTCTTAAGGAGTATGATCTCTTGAAGAAATTGGTCATTTCATTTTGAATCCAAATTTCGTGTTCCTGTTCTGATTGGAGTTGAGCTGCCAGTGCCATGGGATGAAGGAGCTGAGGAGGAAGCTGCTATTGCCATGAAGAACTAGCTGCAAGCTTTACTAAATTTGGAAAAAAAGATTGCATGGAAGAGGTATAGCTCATTCCCTAAATAGATCTAGGTTTCCTTGAGCTTGCTTGTGATTTCTCTATAAGAATCTTCTTTGCTTAGTGGATTGCATGGTCGGATGATGATTCCCAATTTTTCCCAATGATGAGTTTCTGGGTGAACAATTTTATGGGTTGTTGTTCATGTTTATCTGGGTTTGTGTTCTTGCTGTTGACTAGTCATCATCTGAATGATGCTATATACTTGTTCTTGATGTATTCACACACACATCTCCCTTAGTTGTTGCTAGCACAGGGAATGCCTAGATTAATGTGTCTTTCTGAGTGCCTAGGTTGTCACTATTGATTTTCTAGGTTTGCAGGTATTGATTGTTTACTCTGTGTGTGTGATTGTTACTAGTCTATGACTCTTTGTTGACTAGTCAAATTGATCTCAGGTTAAGCTAAAATTTGTGTAATTGGTAAGTCTTTAAAGTAGCTTTTAATTTATCCCCTTTATTTAAGTACCAATTTCAGAAGCCCCATAGAAACCTACGTGTTTCCCATGTTTAATGAGAATGAGAAGAATGGGGAACCAACAGATAAGCATTTTGGGATCTTTTTCCCAAACAAGAGCCTGTGTGTCCCATTGATTTCAACTAAGAGTTGAAATTCTAGTGTACTATGAGATCAGAGACACCTTTTTAAAGCAATTTAACTGTAATACATATAGGGTTACTTTGTAAACCCTAGTGAAGACAAAGAGGATATCTTTTTGTGATTCAATAATTCATAAATGTAGATGCCATATTTGGCCTATAAACTGAAGTATATGATTTGCCAAGTCTACTTCTTTACATTGCCATTATTTATCTACTTCTTCAGGCAAAGACATTTCTTATGATTTTGACCCGTCTCAATATGTTTACTCATTTAGCCGGTGTTCTCAATAATAAATCAATTGAAAAATGAGATGCTAAAGATTTGTGGGTGGAGAAAGACTTCCATGAAATGAGCAGGGATGGACTCTAAGTTTGGCTAACTTGGGCTATAGCCCAGGTGGACTTTTTTTTTACTTTTTTTTTTTCAGCCAAATTTTTTTTTTTCCTACCTCACTCAATTTAAACAACCTAGCCTCCTTTAAGTCTCCTCCTTGAACAACATGTAGTCAATAAAAAAAAAAGAAAAAGAAAAAAAAAAACTCACACACATCACAACACGTAGAAAAAAAATTGAGAAAAAAGAACTCACACAGAGCACGTAGACAAAAAAATTAAATAAAAGAAGAAGCACCCTACACTTGCACGTAGAGAAAAAGAAAGAGCAACAAATTCAAGTGAACCAAGTTCATATATTCGTCAGGCAAGCTTTTCTCAATTTGCTGATGTTTTAATTTAAGGATTTTTTTTTTTTGGAGTTTATGAAGTATCAATTAAGATATGCAATTGAAACTTAAGAATTATAAATTAGGGATTGCAATTGGGGCTTATCAGTTTAAGTTTATGAATTATGAATTATCAAATAGGATTTGTAAATGATTTTATTGTTCTTGCTTATTAAATAGGTGTTTTTTTTTCATTATCAATGAAATAACATGGTATTTTTGAGTTTTCTATCTACTAAATACCTTTGTATGTAAGGTAAATTTAGTCCACCCTATTTTGAAATCTTGAGTCCATCCCTGGAAATGGAGATAATACTATTTTGCTATCCCTGGCCAATAATACTATGACATGCGTGATAATACTTCGACGTAGCATAACACCAATGATAGAAAGATTGCAAAATATTAATATCCTCGTTGCAACTAAGTTTTTCTTTTATGGGTGATTTCAAGCCAGTCAAATTAATTATAGATTCCATTTGTATTAGAGATATTCGATGAATTATACAAGCCCAAATAGGCACATCCATGCATGCTTGAATGCATTGGATTGGATGAGACTTTAGGAAGACCCGAGATATCGTATGCTGCTTCCATTCTTAATAAATTAATTAGCTTCATAATCTAAAATATATTATCCTTAAATTATTAAATGATCGTACAATATGCTGCTACTCTAATCCTAAACTAATCATCGACTTCCAATATTCGGACAAAGAATTTCATTATTAATTGTGAACTTGGATATGTTCACCACTAACTAAATTACTAATAGTTATAGAAGTATTTTAATAAGCAATAAAAAATTATTACTTTCCATTAACCTTTATTTTTAGCAGTGCCCGCTTCCAATACACCGCCTTCCTACAAACCCTCTTTAGTTTTTCGTCTCCTCTAAAATATTACAAGATCCAGTCTAAAAGAAAAGGTCTATTTTAGGGCTTTCAAAAGCTTTTCACTAATCCATACAAGACTCGAGTAGGCTGGGTCCGATGATGTGATCTGCCATATTTTTGCTCTACATATTTGAAAAAAGAAAAATTGAAACTCAACTGGATGGAGCAGATGTGAAGAACCAAGGGCAGAACCAAGAATTTTAAATCTTACCCTTGCAGTTTGAATCCATTAAAATATCCGAATAAGCTTCTGAAATGCAAATTTTTGGCATATTTTAAAGTGCAAAAATATAAATAATTAAGTTTTACGTATATATTAGTTGTAAAGACAAGAACAATATATTTAGATTAACGCACTGTTCTATTATTTTTTTTGGTCTGAGTTCTGTTCTTGAAACGAATACAAATAAACTTGAGATAATATTTCCCTAATGTTGTAGTTGATGGTAGGCTATATAAGTTTTTTTCTTCTTCAAAAGCCTTTTGCCAGAGGCAGTAGATAATTTCACCAAAAAAATAATAATAAAGGCAGATAAAGAAAAGAAGATGGCAGTTTGAGAAAAAACAAAACCAAAGGCAGCAGATTTTGCAAAGGAAAAAATAAAAACGCAGCAACTTCTTGTGGTTTATCAATAGTTTTTGTTCAAAAGTTACTGGTTGTGGTTCCGCCCCTGTGGAGGACAGTAAATAACTAAGCAGAAAACAATTCTTGAGTTTACTCAGCATACAACATTATAATAGATGAGAGAGAAATCACATGGGAGAGTATGAAGTCAAGAAATTTGGAAACGATAAAAAGGATGTATCAAATCTTGTTAATCTTGGATGTGGAGCTTATTAGAGAGAGAGAGAGAGAGAGAGAGAGAGAGAGAGAGAGACCACGCGGAGACAGATGAAGAAAATCGCGATGTTTCTCTTGGAAAGGAAAAGTAAATTTATGTATTTAATATATAATATTAACAAAATGTTGGTCAGTCATCCATATTCAATATCCATTGAAGTGTTCCAGGAATTTTGCTTAGAGGCTAGTTTAATATTGTAAAAAATTCAGATTAAAATAAAACCAAATCTTTTATAGCTGGTTCTAAGAGGTTTCAAGTTCAACTCATATAGTAGTTGCATAGTCCCTTCCGTGTTTGGTTAGGAAATAAGGCTTTGGTCTGCCGTCACAACATTCTCTGTGGAGTTGGCTCTAGTTTGGTCGTCGAGGTTTCTCATCGTCTCTGTGGTGTGCTGGAGTTCAAAACTGGAAACCAATTTATAAAATAAATCAATCTTTCTTAAAATAAGAAGTCTTCTTAATCATAATGTTAATTAGATTGTGAATTTGAAATAATGTTTTAAATATCACAATCAAGATGCATGATTGAATGAAGAATTTACCTCAGTGATCGTCGGTTGACACATGAGCCTTCGAAGCATATCTTGAAATTTAGACAGCCACCATCACAACTAATTTATCATCTATACTTAGTCTATTTGGTATCTAGAGAATGCCAATCACAAAATCAATACTAACAAGTTCTACGCTTTTGATAAATTAAAATACATAAATAAATATAAACAAGAGGACAACCTTGAAATAATACTATCGTTCACATGATATTGAAAAGGACAGGAAATTAGACTTCAATTTTGAATTGTCTATTCAAACGTAAATTGAACTGATATAAAGACTTCAAATAATACTATTGTTGACATGATATTGAAAAGGACAGGAAAATTTCACTTCAATAATCATTATTCTAGTTGAAAGGGAAAAAGGGAAAAATTGCACTATTAATGTGCGTGCTAGAAGCTCCAAATACCGTATAAAAGACGTTAACTTCTTTGTAATGTGAAGCTTACAAAGATCTTGACCAAAACATGTTCAATTAATGTGCGTGCTAGAAGCTCCAAATTATGGAATTAATCTCAACTAGAGAAAGGTGGAAGAAGACTCCAAGTAAATTAACAAGGTGGAAGAAGACCTTGACCAGTTATGGCTTCATCTACTTATTGCATCTGCTTCCCTCTTCTAAATTAGTTTATTTCCTTTAATTTTCTTCCCTTTTTCTGCTTTCCACCTAGTTGGCAAAAGTCCTTCCACGGTTTCCGATGAAAGCCTATATAACTAAAGCCCAAGCTCATCAAATTCGAGGCAAAGCAAACTGAGACTTTCCGATGATGAAGACCCTAGTAGTAGTCCTCAGCCTCAGCTTAACCATCCTTTCCTTCGGAGGTAAACAAGCTTCTTATTTTCTTTAAGTTTTTCATTTTGGTCAAACGATAGAAATACTCATTGATCTTTTCTTAAAGTCGAAGCTTCTTATTTTCTTTAATTTTAATTTAATATTTGGTCACAATAAGTGTGGTTTGTGATTACTGCATCAAATTAAGTGTGGTTTACTTTGCATGGCAGGTGCACATGCAGCGACAATGTCTTTCAAAAACAATTGCCCCTACACGGTCTGGCCAGCAACCCTAACCGGCGATGGAAAACCTCAACTATCAACCACAGGGTTCGAGTTAGCATCCCAAGCTAGCTTCCAGCTAGACACTCCGGTGCCATGGACCGGCCGTTTCTGGGCCCGAACTGGATGCTCCACGGACGCCTCTGGAAAGTTCGTCTGCGCCACCGCAGACTGTGCCTCTGGTCAGGTCACGTGCAATGGTAACGGTGCCATTCCGCCGGCAACTTTAGCGGAATTCAGTATTCCAGCCGGCGGAGGACAAGATTTCTACGACCTTAGTCTTGTTGATGGCTTCAACTTGCCCATTTCTGTGACTCCACAAGGCGGTACCGGCGACTGCAAGACGACTAGTTGCCCGGCGAACGTGAACACAGTTTGTCCGAGTGAGCTGCAAAAGAAAGGCTCCGATGGGAGCCTGGTTGGCTGCTTGAGCGCATGTTTTGCATTCAATCAGTCACAGTACTGTTGCACTCCGCCTCAAGAAACTCCAGAGAAATGCCCACCGACAAAATACTCTGAGATATTCCGTGAACAATGCCCCGACGCTTACAGCTATGTTTATGATGACAAAAGTGGTACATTTACATGCAATGGTGGACCTAACTACGTCATTACTTTCTGCCCTTCAGGTCCCTGTTGTGGTGACATTTACATACATATAGGGACTATCGACATGTAATTGATAATGGGCCGATAATTAGTCTGGCTATGTATCAAGCATTTGAAGGAGCCAAGCCATGCTCTTTGAGGGTGTCTCTATGGTGCTCATCGTGTACTACGAACAAACAATGAATATTTGAAGGCACCCAATGAATATTTTGAATAAATCCCCCTCCCCCAAATGCTTGTACTGAAAAAAAAAAAAAAAAAAAAAAAAAAACCTAGTTCCTTCAAATCTTTGAGTTGAGGGACAATATATACCTCAAGCTTAACTCTTAATACTACTTTCTGTACCCATAAGGATGGATACACATAGAAAGTAGAAGGGAAAACGTCTCAGGCGAGAAAACGGAATTACATCTTCTATGTTTCAATGATACAGTGTTATATATTGCTGCTGTGAAGAATAAAATACATCGCAATAAATAATCAATTAATTTTGTAAGTCTTCATGAGTAACATAAGACCCCAAATGAATCCATCTAGAAAGCCGAAGAGTGTTCTAACCATTCGCTAAATGACAGCAATCATAGCCAAATTGGTGGTCATGAAGTAAGTGATACTTCTGGACTTGAACCTGGGCGGCTTGACTTAATTGCTGAGAACCGCAAGTCACGCATGAAAAGATGCATTCATCGAAAGGCTAGGCGTTCCTTTTTCTCTCCTGGCTAGAGGGCAAAAGCATATGCATGTTGGGCATTCTATAATTATAATTTCTTGGATTTGTTAGGCTTATTAGTATTGAAATATCAAAACAAGAGGGCAACCGTCTGTGTTGGGCTTCTTTAGAGTTTTTTTAAGGCAAGTTTTAACGATGTCACATTATGGCTCCTCCTCTGTTTGTGATTCTTGCTTAATAGGAAATATGAATTTGAAGATAATAATAATTCTCAACCGACAGACTTAATATAAATCAACAAATACAAGTAGAAATACTAACAACTTTAGTGATTGAGGCTTGCAAGAATTGCAATGTCCTAAAGACAGATTTCGCTCCTGCCCCTGTGCTTGCAGTTCTATAAGCGTCCATCTCCCAAGATTCAACAATCGATAATCCTAAATTGAAACACTTCAATTTAAAACTCTGGCAAACCAATTATATATTTGTACTCTCAAGACAAACACCAGAAGTATTTAACAAACAGATAAAATAGAGTATTGGGGAATACTCTATTTTTCATGAAAAGAACTCTATCCATCCTTTGGAGATGTCCAGGTTGATGAAGGGTGCTTGATTTATATAAAACTCAATCTACCCATGATAAAACAACGTATCTATGAATTAGTGTAAGTTCAAGAGATACCTTTGCATCATTATGCTTTGAATAGCAATAGGCACAAATCTGAGGAAACTGACCAGTTGGAGAAACTAAGACACACGTCTCTTAGAGAAACTTATTTCTTTATGTAAGCTCCAGGTAAAAGCTCCTTTGCGCAAGCTGCAGCGAGCAGGGCTGCCTGGTTTTTTTTGTTTTTTTTTTTTGTTTTTTTTGTTTTGGTTTTAAAGTGATATGTTAAAAATGCATAGTTTTGTTCCAAGTGAAACCAAATAATAATAATAATTATTATAAAATGAAAAGAAAGGGCTAACAGCTACGCAAAGGTTGACACCCCTTCCTCAAATGAGTTTCAATCGAAATTGGATACCCCAAATAAACCCTCGCCAACTCTTAACCCTATCCTTCCACACCTGAACCACCACTACCCACACCGGCCAACTCCCCAACCGCATTCCTTTTTTCCCAATCCTCCTTTGGCTCCATCATCCATTAGCTTTTCTCTTTGTGCTTTTTTCATTATCATTGACTATCTCTCACTCTCTCAATTGGTACAAGCAACTTCCATTACATTCATTAAGCAACAAAACTCTAAAAGGATCTCTCTCCAGCTTGTATTCTTTGATTCATTTGGTAGAAAACCATTTGTTTTTAGAGGCAAAAGAAGCGTTGTTGAAGTGGGCATAAGCCATGGCAGCTCCTGAACCACAAGAGATAAGTCATCCACCAATGGACCAACCCTCCACTGTTTGTTTGGAAAATTAATTTATCTCTCAATTTTTAAAGTAATTTCTCTTTATGCTTTAATTAATAAGATGGATTGTTGGGTTTTGGTTAATTGATTGAGTTTTTGTTTTTGTTATTTTGTATAGATTTTTTCAATTTATTTATTTGTATATATTTTTAGTTTTTAATTAATTAATAAAGATTGCTGTGGTTTGATTAAAGCTTGTTAGTTTGTATATAATTAACATGGTGAATTTGTTAATATGGTGCTTTTAACCTTTGAAATATTGCCCTTTTCTTGAAAAATTTATGGGTCCACCGCTGTCTGCACCACTTGTCTTTGAGGAAGAAAAGTCCAATGAGAAGGTTGCATACTTATGCAAGATGACCAATCAAATGTGTCATCTGGGTTATGTATAATTTTTTTATATTTTTAAATAATTGATATTAGTATATTGTGTTGGAAATTTTAATATTAACTAATATTGATTTTCCTATTTGAATGGAAATAAATAAAATCCATTGGGTTAAAGACATGACCCTTGGGTTAAAGACATCTTCACATGGGGGGTGACAACTATTCAAACCAAGGGATGCATTGTTTGCCTTTTCAGATAAGGATACCTTTTTGGAAAGGGTATTTCATCATCTATAAATAGATCAATCTTCCTGCAGTTTTAGATATTCAGTTTAATTATCTACATACAGACTTTTACACATAGAAAGCATTAGAGTTTTCATAAAGAGAGGTTCCTGCATAATTTGGTTCAAAGTTCCTTGTGAATTGCAGTGCTTCTTTCACAAGGAGGGGAGTCGTTGTATCCTGGGAGGCGAACGCTAGTGAACCATAAGCACCAGTGTGGGGCGTAATTCGTCTTAAGGTCAGAGTGTCAAACACTTGCCTCGACTCAATTAAGGTTCTTCTAATTCAATTCTCCTTTTGTAAAAATCTGTTTTATGTCTAGTATTTATTTTATAGAAATTTAGCACTCACATTTCCTACAATCTTAAGACGAATTATTATCTGTGTTAATTGCTATATATATTAGTCTCTGTTTATGCATTTAAATGAAAAGGTGCAAAACAGTTTTATTTTAATGCGTATGACATTGACGGCCTTATTGCAATACTGATAATTAGTTGTTTATTCTATTGAGTTGATTTCCTTCAATTAACATTAAAGTTAACATTGATGATTCCACTGTTAAGGTGTGGGATTCTAGAAGGTTGTAGTTGGAGCATGTGATGGCATGATACATATGTTTTCTGTTGATTACATGTCCAGAGGTCTTGGTAATGTTATTGAAAAGTATTCGGGTGTTACTGATATCAAGAAGAAGGATATTAAGGAAGGTGCCATAATTGTACAAATCAGATGGTTATGTACAGCACCCAAAATTGTGGGATCCATCTTTGAGATACAAGAATGAATACCAATTCTTGGACATTGAGAGCAACTCCTGAAGAGGGCTATGTTTCTTCACTGGTAACAGGACTTTGTGAAAATTGGTTTGTGTCCAGATCTTCAAAGGGGGAAAGCTAATTAGTAGTTCTATTACAAAGAGCTTAAGAAGTGAAGATATTTTAAGAATAAATATCTCCATTGTACTACCTATAGAATGAGATGCATACGGACAAAGGGTACCAAAGCCTTACCCTATGCATAAATTAATGTGCACTTTATAAAGGAAAATTAGTTTTATAATGATTTGCTTTAATCAATTAATGAGGGTATGGTAACTAGAACATGTTAATTATGTTATAAACATGGTTCTATTACTAATGCAACATTAAATTGATTTAAAGGAAAATTATAAACTAATACTATAGAACCATTATCTCATTCTTTAAGGATAAAGTAAAAGTTTTCTACTTCTTAGGCATATGAAAAAATGATTAACAGATTGCTCAATACCTTCAACAATTGTGTGAAAATTGTGGGGGTGACAGACATGAAGGAAAATTTGGAATTCTATTTCCTAACAAAGAAAATAGAAGTTTTCTAGATTAGTTCATAAGCACCACGTTTTGGTGGAGAGAGGCTTTGATGTTCATAAGAGTTTAAATTTCTCTTATACAAGGTATGAGAAGGTTAGAGACCTTCCTACAAGTACCACAAATGTGGGGGTGTCTAATCGAATATTAGAAGGTTACTCAGTTGACACAATTATTAAGTCTTAACAAAATAAATTAAAACTACTCTTGAATGTAATTTATTTCCATATATGAAATTATTATGGCAATATATTACAGAAATAGTCAACCTAGTGGATCCAATATTTAAAGGTCAGACTAAAGAGT